TAAAGCTTTTCGATGGTGACTAGATACCATGAGATTTGACATCTTCACTTATTGCCTAACGAGACTGTCTTCTTTCTTAAAAATACAGTGAAATCTATGAAAGAGAGCGCTTATCTTTTTTTTTTATTTTTCAAACAAACTAAATATATTTATATTAAATGTACTTAATTTGATTTTATGGAAATGAAATAACAATTGTGACATTTGAGCAGAACGAGGAATACAGAATTTTATTTTAACTATACATAAAGTTTAACACTACGTTCGTAAGGCTGAGCCCTGCAAAATACCGTTTCCTTTAAAGCAAAATCGTTTAACTTGAATGCTTGAAAGATTTGCAAAAACATAATCATATATCAATGCGTTTTTCTGATAAGGCTGAGTAATTTGTTAACTATTATGTAGATCTCTGATTTATAATAGAAAAAGGATGGCTTTTTTTGCAATAGGCAATCAAACACGAAAACAGATAATATCTACACTAATGTATTATGAAGCTGTAAAATTTTCTGTTTCTGCTTGTTTTGAGAAGTAACATTTTTCTACAAGATTTTTATGGAACTCTTCAAGTCTTATACTAACTCTCTCTCTCCCACTCGTATTAATTGAAAGTGCATTCAGATTGCGTACATGTTTTGTTATATTGATCGTTAACTTGTTTACGAGTTATCATTGATGCAGTAGATATAATCAAGGTGAACTATTCTATATTTAATTTTCGGCTAGATTTGCAAGGACAAATTTAAATAAAGGAATTTAGCAATATTTTGGAATAGTCGTAGAAGTTCGCATTTTATTGAATTTCAGGATATTTGTCCTTGGTTTAGGCCTTTCTGGTTATCAAAGAGGGTACAACCAATACACTTGAAGTTTTTATCACATATAGAGCACCTGAAATAAGGAGATCTGCGTTCCAAGAAGAAAATTGCAAATAAAGTATGAAAGCAATATTTAAAGGTTCAGGTTCAAGACGTATCTGTGGTCGAAACTTCAGCCAGATCAGGCACCATTACACATGACTCATAAGCGATCCCGATGTGATTCTACGGAAAACTTTGGTTATATCTTCTTCGAAAATTAGAAATAGCAAGAAAAGAGAGACAGTACTTTTAAACAAGTCTTGATTATTTGTATTTTTAATTGAATTTTTTTCAATATACTTTCAAAAAATCAACAATAAGTTTATTATTTATAAAAATATTTTGCTCAATTTATTGTCTGTTTCTTTTTAGCTATTACAATTACACTTACATCATTAAATACTGAATATTTAACAAAATGTGAAAAACAAATAAATAATTATTTAAATAGATCTATATTTAAAATGACTTTAAATGGATTTGAAAATTGGAATCAATATATGATCAATGCTTTTTATAAATATTCTAAAGATAGATATGTTTTACCTAAATTAGATAATAAACAACAAATTATATTATATGGTCCTATAAATAATGTTTATGAAGTTATTCAAAAATATCAATTAATAAATAAATTAATTCAAGATAAAACAAATTTATTATCACTTTTTACAAAAAATACATCATTAAATAATTTCAATATAATGTTAAGTTATTCACCAAATGATACAATTATATCACATCGTTTAGCTAATCGTCTTATTGATGAAGGCTTTACTGTATGGATAAATTCAAATCAATCAATAGAATTCAATCAAATATTAAAAGAAATAAATAAATCTGATTGTATTATTCTTTGTATAAGTGAAAATTATTTTGAAAATGAATTATGTGAAAAAGAAGCAAAATATGCTAATGAAATAGGAAAATCTCTAATTCCAGTAAAAGTTCAAAATTATGAACCAATTGAATGGTTATATAAATTAATTGAAAAAGAATCATATTTTCAATTATTTGGATCTGAAAATCATTTTAATTTAGAATATGATAAATTATTATTAAAAATTGTAAGTTTATCAGAATATAACTACAACAAAAAAAAAAAAAAAAACAAAACTCAATTTAATTTTGAGAAAGTAAATAACCCTTTCTGCTCAGTTCGAACTTGTCAGCTTTTGTTCAATTCCTTACGTTAGAAATACGATGTTAAGAACTTTTTTGAAGAATAGAAGAGTTGTTCAGTTATGCTCTCTTTTTTTCTACTGAATCACATTTCACTAACTAAGCGTATCAAAACAAGACATGAAATACAATCTTTTGAATTCTAATCGTTCACATCAGACCTTAATAACGACTGTTTTTACTAGATTTTGATATTTTCCGATCGTTAGAGTTCAATGATAAGTAAGTTGTGACATTGCTTTGAATATTCTTTGAAAATACTTAATGGGATCAGAGTATTGAGTTTTTCGCGGTTAGTAAAGATGTAAATTGATGTGTTGACCAGCGACTCTAGCTTTATCCTAACTTTTCTCTTCGTTGTTGGCGATGATACCTTAAATTTTTCGATCAGTTTTTTTTTTCGAGAAATCTTGAAATGGAAAAGAGAGAAAACCATGATGAAAAACTTACTGACAAGAAACGAAACAGTAATATCTCCTAGAACAGTTTTGGAGCGTCGAAACTATTTTAAAAAATCAAAGATCTATTTTTCATGTCTTGATGGTTGCACCTGAAATCTTCAGTAATTGTCTTTGACAATGGTAATCGCTTGGTCAGTCAGCTTTGACCTATATTGATGAGTACATATCAGAGATAAAGAATCAAAACGTAAATGTTATGATTGACATACTTCATTCATTTTTTAAATGAGGCACTATAGAATTTCTAAGTGAAATACTTTAAAAACACCGCTAAAAACTTACTTTGCGTCGAAATTTCGCAAAAACTTTCTATTAGCGTTCGGATTTGCTTGACATTCCTCTTTCTTCTGTTTGATACTTCTTGCTTTTCACCTGACATCCTTTATAGATGATCTTATATGAAGTTTCTAAGCGATATGATGAATAACGTACCATTTAATCCATCATAATTTTATATCAATCTTTACTCTATTTTTCATTTTAGTTACAATGTATAAGATACAATCATGTATCTTCATTTGAACAAACATCCAATCGATCAAATGAATTGCAACATAATGATCTCATTGAATCTTTTGAAGATAATAACACATTATTATATTTTCTACTAACACCAGAACAAAAAAAATTAAAATATGAAAAGAATATAAAAAAATTAATAAAATTAGAAAAAGGAAAAATAAATGAAGATGATAAGAAAATTCTCATTGAAAAAGTACAAGATATTATGCATGACAAAGAAAAACAATGTCAAACATATCTCTCTCAATGTAGATGGAACTGGCGTATGAATTCGTTAAGCATGTTCTGGCGTGTGTATTCATTTATTCGAAAATAATTTTCTTATCTTTTTATTCTAAATAGGTTTCACAAATCCATCTAGTCCTGATTATCAACGAAAACTGAATGAAATTACACAATGTATATGGTTTGACATTGGAATACTATCTTATCAACAATGGTTGAACAAAATAGAAAATTTAAATACAATATTAAATATTCCACCATTTACATTCACTGGTGATATTAATAATGCCATATTTCCTATGTTCAATGAAGCTTTGAAAAATTCATATCTTTTATATTCTTTGGGACAACATTATTCTTTACCAAATGAATTAGATTATCTTTCAGACAAGAAAAATATTCGTTCTATGAGTCGTTCGTCAACATCAGAAAAATTAATTATATTAAAACAACAAGACAGTACTAGTGAAAAATCAAATAATGATGAAAACGATTCTCAAACAACATCAGATCAAACAAGAAGTTCAATCATTTCTCCCTCTAAAAGTAAAAACATAATAAATAAAAATAGAAAAGAAAGAAATATCAAGAAAAACTATGATGAACAAAAAATTATTGTTCCTGATGAACCTCTTATAAAGACTTCTTTAAGAGAAGATCGAAATCTCGAATTCAAATTAAAATTTGCCAAACAAATGAAGAAAAATGAATATGAATTTCAAAAGTTTTGTAAAGAATATCAACATTCATTATATTTATCATCGAAAAAAAGCATTCGTAACTATCCATCAGTCATGTTTGGTCCATCTCCATTTTCAAACATAACAATCGAACCACTTAAAACAGTACAAAGACATAATAAAATTGAATTACCATTAAAATTTCCTTGGAATGGAGTTTTCGATACAAAACCTTCATCAATAGCATGGAAAGATCCATCAATATTCTTCTTCTTCGAAGCAACATCATCACAAAAAAACTAAATATAACAATTTCATTTTTATATCTTTATTATGATCAATTAAAAGAAATATCATTACAATATTATTATAGTGTATTCAGTAATATGAGTATATGACGCACACTAAAAGTTTTTTCACTGCAAATTCTTCTAAATCCTATCAATCCAGTGCAACTATTCTAAGAAAATGCCTAAACATATTTAGGATTATGCGCAAAATATCAGGTTTTGAAGTTTCGATTTTCGCTGTGTTTTGGATTACATGACTATACCCGATGAACGCCGCTGTTAACTCATTATTTGATATAGCCAAATTTTAACAAAGTTTTAGTACATATTTTCTATGAGATACTAAGAGCAAAAAAATTAATAAGGCTCACAGGTAATCACCGATCTACAGGCACATCAGTGGGTCTTAAGTTCGTATCGACCTCAGTTCTATATATATGGTCTGAGTCTTTACCATGAAAATGTACGATCACGAAAAGCCTGGAATATCATATAAGTTTTTGGTAGAATGTCAAATGAGATCACATTCAAATCTAACATATTCTCACGTCCGAACCTATCTAACTTCGTTGCCTTTACCAAACTCAAATATTAACTAGATGGAATCGAATTCAACATTTCTAATGCGAATTCTAATTGTAACTTTTGAAATGCCTCTTGTATATATGATGTATAAAACATCAATAAATTAAGATTTTTTATTACTCTTGCAATTAAATTATGTTGTAAGAAAATCGATTAAGTATGAAAACCAAAAAAATAAAAAAATTAAAATATTTATCATTTGTCAACTAATCGATAGATATAGACAATGCCTTCATTATAAGCAGGTACAAACATTTCTGGATGTCCATCATTATCAACATCTTCAACACTAACTTGACCAATTGTTGATTTGTCAGATTGATGAATTATCTTTATGGAATATTCCCAATTTAATGGATCATTATCATGAATTGCTTCTAGTAAATACACACAACCATCGTCATCACCGGATAATATTAAAATAGGTTTCTTTCGTACAGTAAGAGAATAAAATTGAACTGTTATGGCTTGTCCTGGTGCTCCTCGACCTTTGGCTTGAACAAGTGGTTTAAAATCACTAGCAAGAACATGTTTTGTAAAATTTCCTTTACGTATGTCACCTGATCGTGGAAGTTCATAAGCAATTAATGAACCATTATGTGCATCATTAACAGTAACAAGTAGATCAGGTTTATAATCACCATTAAGATCTAGGGTTAATTGTATGTATGCATATGGAAGTGGTTCATAGTCAATATGACGTACATGTAATTTAGTAGTATCATTCCACAATGGATCTAAATCGGACCAGAACATTTGAAGTTTACGATCAAAAAATGAATTAGCAAAAAGAACCTAGAATAATGAAATTAAACATAAGGATTATTAAATTTTTATTGATATTAATAGTATATATACTTGTAATGAATCAATTCTAGCAAATTGGACTTGAATATCTGGTCCACCTTTTGATAATAAATAATTAAGTTTCCAAGGACCAGTTATTGTTTGATTTCCTGGATTTTTCAGCCAAACTAATTGAGTTATTGGTTTACCGATAAGTGGAATATGTGCACGTGCAGTTACGATATCAATACGACCATCTCCATCCATATCTTTGAATTCAGCATCATGATAAAACCAATTTGTTCCATCATTTGGTACTAATGGTATAATATCTGTATCCGAAATAAAATACAGATTTCCATTACTTTTTCCAGGAACAAGAAAACCACTTGGAACAATCATTGAATATTCAACTAATTGATCTGCTGCTACAATACCATTAGGCCATATTATTTGATCGGTTATAAGTGTTGGTGTAATTTGTGTTGTTAATTGTTGTCCTATATTAGGTACATTATAAACATAATCGGTAGTTTCTGGAAGTGGATTGAAACAAGAGATAACTAAACCCCATGATGTGAAATTTAATGTCCATGTACGAAGAAGTGTTGAAAAACCCGCATGAGGTAATTCAAATTTATTTATAAGAACTGCTGTGATTTCACCTTTTGTTAATAACGGATAAGCAAAGATACTTACAACAAGAATAAACGGGTAAAATTGCATCGTCTAAGAAATGATAAAATAACCAAATGCAAATGTGTTATCTATATCATATACGTTTTTATTATCAGGGTGATATGTGTTGTAAAAGAAAGCAATCCTCTGCAGTGTCTTACACCATTATGTAATATATTTGCTTTTACATATTATATTATATAATATAATACTGTGTAACTAATTGTATGATAACTTTAACATGTAAATTTTAAAATTGTCGACATTAAATTAACTTCCTGTTCAGTATCGATGAAATTAGAATTTTTGTCTAAGATAAATAAAAAAAAAATTTTAGCGTAATGCAATCGAGTATTTTTATAGAATAGATTTGGAATATGACTTGTTGCTAATTTAAAAATAGATTGATTTGATATTTTTTTTTGTCATTGTAAAATAATTGCGTCAGGTATCACTTACTGTAAGTCATATGGTAAAACATATATATTTCAATAAAATATACTGATTAAAGTTATTCTGTGAGATGCAAATTCAAACTAAACGTATTCGTATCTAGTATACTACGAGTTGTTTTTCGATTCATTCGTTAGATATGATTATATGTAGTTTGTATTTGATATTTTTGTGAGTTCCTAATTTTTTTCAATAAAAAA